TATATATCTATATATATATATAATGCTTAATTTAATAATATCTGAAGAGCACCTTTACTGAAGAAAAATTTCTTGAAATTACGTCATTATCTTCTTATTTTCATACGTCGAGTAGTTTTCAAAGGTCAACATTGTGTGCTAATTCAATATCATAAAAAAAAAAAAGGAAGTTCTCACTCGTAGTGAATTTTTCAATGCACAATTTTTTTTCCAAAAGGTTGAGGGAGTCTGGCGGATAAAAAGCAAGCATATTGTTAATAAAAGTATAAACTACTAATTCTTTGCACATGGTCAATTCGACTCATCCCCCCTCCCAGGGGTAAATTAAGCAATACTACGAGTTTTATGAAGATTCCAGAGGAAAAAAATAACTTCGCATTCCGCCTTTTAGGTTAACATTGTTTCTATGTACTTCGCTATCCCTTTCCAGTGATTCTTCCGATCGTCTTTACTAACATAGTTAGCATGAGCGAACAATGCATTGAGTTGGGGAAGTACCTTCGCCTTGACAGCCGTCATATCTACGCACACACTCAATACATATTGCACAATATCTACGACCTCAACGCTGTCTTCGATGTCATTCCCTACATCGACTCTAGGCGTTAGCAAAAGGGATGCTTGTAGAATATTCCTTGAAAATGGCACCCAGAAGGATTCCTGAGCCTCTGTGTTATTCCTATCGTTCGAAAGCATAGTGTTTATGATTTCCTCATAGTCAGGCAAATTCATCAGAACTACGAGTGCGCGAAGTTCTTCGGCTGCAGAGAGGGCCAGTAAAGCGTTCTTGTGCGTTCTGTAGATGCCTTCAGATGGGTTCTTCTGAGCAGAGTTCACGATCATTCCTTCTGAAACGGATTGTGTTGTAAACTGTCTGCTGTGGAAATTTGTCGGGGGTGAATTCGGCAGGGCGATCGCGGCAGTCGGAAAAGACTGGTTGTATGATCCCGATAAATAAGACGGAGTGCACAACGTGCCTGACGTTGCGCTACGCCGAGACGGCCGTATCAAGTTTGTGTCGAGTCCTTCCTCTAATTTCTCGTATGTAGGCGATACATGAGGAGGCATGTCCTTCAAAGCATTGGGGTCTTTTGTGAGACCAGGGACATAGAAGAATTCCCCTTTAGGATGATCTTCGCTGAGAACAACGCAGGTGAGAGCACAACCATACACACAACCAGTGTCAATGCCATAGGCCAATGGCTTTTCTTGGAAACCAGAGAAGGCGTCGTGACCGAAGATGACTAGCTCCGGACCCTGCCACATTTCTGCCCATGGGACACCACCTTTGCCTTTGATGATGGCTCTGTATCTGAGTGCATCTCCCTCCAAATATGGATCACCGTTTTCCTTAGGAACGAGCTCCAGTCGTCGCATATGCATAATATCATATATATTCTGCTCTTCCAGTGAACATTGTATATTAAACCCAGCATGCACAAGAACAACGTTGTATTTTGGCATCCGAAGAATGTGTGGCAGGCTTCTCAGGTAGAACTCACAGTCTAAAGGAAACTTCATTGCCAATCTCTTTACTGGGTCGCGTAGTTCATGATTATTAAAGGGTTTTCGGCGCATCTGTTTGCAGCAATTAATCAACGTATAATCATGGTTCCCAAGCACTCCTAGAGCACGCCATTTCTGACAAGCTCGTATGACTTCTATTGAATAGGGCCCTTTATTGACGTAATCGCCGATTATTATAAGGCAATCCTTGCCTGGTGTGTACTCCACCTTTTTGACCAACGCCTCAAGTTGAGTTACACAACCATGAACATCGCCAACAACAATGTAGCGGCCACCTTCTGGCAACTCGGGCAAGGTACGTATCACGGGCTTTAAGGCCCTGTCGTTGTCTATAGGCCCCCCACCAAAGGCAGACACAATAAATTGATTCGCATCGAGTGCTTTAGAACGCTCTATAGCTGAGAAGCCAGATGCAGAAAAAAATCCGTGTTGAAACGCACTCGCCATAATGTGAGACGACTGAGTCTCACTCAACCTGTTTAGCTCTCCATCAGTTTGATTTGGGCTATAGAAATCCCTTTCTGGATGTAGTGGATCATCTTCGACGTTCATGGCACCACTAGTTCGTTTCGGATTTAGCGGCTGTAACTCCTTATTTTTTAGTGTGTTGAAAAGCGCAGCCACTCCTTGGGAAGAATCCTTCTCCTTGTTATCGCTAGAAAAATCTGACGTTGCATTAAGAATCAGACACTGCATATCTAGTACATCATCCTTACTGATAGCTTCATGAGACTCTGAATTGGAATTTTCTATACGAGGAGAGGAAGAAGTAGTTCCAGCACCTGAACGGGGCTTCGGTACCATAATTCCTGGCTTGCTCCTCCGGATATCATTAGGTTTACACACCTTTGACCCAACAATATTATCATTGTTATCACTATCAAAACGAAAGTAATTACCATCATTGTACCTATCGTCTTTGAGGTGCTCAGACGATTCATAGATCGTTGTGGGTTTTCCAACGCCGAGTTGACTTATTGATTTTTTTTCCAACAATGAAGGCGGAGCCTCCCTGGATTCCTTAATTTGAGCCGTGTCGTCCGATCCAGAAGCTGGCAAGGAATCGATAGGGCGTACGCCAATGCAGGTGCCGCCCATGCTGCCCGTAAGCCCAATTCCTGAAAATGTTTTTTTGGGCATTGCTACACTTGGTGGAGTTGTCCCCGCACGTAGGCGATACCCTGCTGTGGTGCCATCACTAAGGCGCAAGTTGTTGAGCTGAAACAAGATACTGTTGCCGCTCTTATCCATTTGCATGAGTAAAGTGAAAAGGCTCCTAAAAGGGATGATTTATATCTCAGAACAGGTAATTGATGGAAGGTTGAAAATGTAAACTTTAACTGATATAGTTGAAGGATGGTAAGTTAAAACCCAAGATAAAGGTGTTTATTTGTATAGTACTAGTAAGAACCCTAGTGATAAGAAAATAAAAATAAAACAGCTGAATGTTTTCGTAAAAGTATCCTTTATTTTCTTGTTTCGGTAAAATTATACACGCAATTTTTTGATCGAGACGTAAAGATGAGAAATACGAAATAGGTTTATTAAATCAAATAATGTATTCTCTTGATATTATAAACTTGCAATAATTCAATGACTCCTTATAGTATTCGTCAAAAAAAATGCTAGATATCTTGATCTATTCAAGAATACTCAATTTGTTGTAAAGCGAAAGCGCAAGTTAAAAAGCTAAAATAGATAAAAATATATGCACGTATTTGACACTGAAAAGTGGCGGTGCTTAAAAAGACTATTATTTAGACCTATAAATGCACTCACTACTTTGTTTCAGAACAGTAAAATTATTGTGACAAATGTAGCATACAGAGGAAGAAATAAACACAAGAGTCAGATAGTCCTCTGACAAGAAAACAAGAATTTACAATCAGGATTATGATTGTTATTTATCTTTGAAATCGGTTTTCAACAACAATGTAATGTTAATCTAATGATTAATAAACTGCGAACGCTATAAATATAATTTGAGAAATAGCAAAAATAAAAGGTATTCTCTTAGATAAAAATTTATCACCACACAATATATGTTTCCCTTTATAGTGTCTTAAAAATATAGGAAAATATACAATAAAAAACGAGAAATAGTTTGTAATTATATTGATAGAATAACTTAAAAAGAAACTATACTTTCGGCTTAGGTATCCTTCCCTTTTATAAATAGTGATTGTCTTGAAGAATAAATCCTAATGTACAGATCGCAGTAGATAATAAAACTTTCTTCCCAAAAAAAATGAATGCAAATGTTTTGTGTTCTATAGTAATATGAAGACAATATACACCAAAAAATTCAAACAATACTCTAATAATTAGTTCGAATAAAAAAAAGGAAGGGTGAGAGAAATAATGAAAAACAGTTCGATGAGGAAGTTATCAGAGGTAAATTTTAGTGTCAAATAAATGTGTACACAATTTTTTTCCCCTCTCGTTGAGCAAATAATGTTTTATTTCAACTCTCTTAGTCGTTCCTTTGGTTGATCCCTTTCTCTGGGCAATAAAAACACTGAAAAGTTTCTAAATACATGAAGATGAGAAAATTCGATTACTGAAGGCCAACCTACTTTTCTTTACTTCCGTAAGTGAAATAAGAATATAACCGCAAGATCCGATGGCCTATATCGTTAAAACAAACAAATATTTACTCTACCTTTTCCTTCTCTAGCGAAAAGGTAATATGATGATAAAGTAACACCGCAAATGTTTGAGAAATGCCAAAAGGGGAAAGGAGGAGGGGAATGATGTGGGCGTAGTAAATGATCGCGGTTAATTTGGATGGAAATTTAAATAAGGGCATCAAGTGGCTGCATTTGGCTTATCTTCTCATTTGTAATTGTAACAAACATTCTCGTTTGACGCGTTTTGTAGGTTACATATATTTTTATCATTATAAGCAATAGGCGTGTGTTTACCATGTATTGAGTATTTCTTCACAGTCCACCAGAGATAACTCATTCCCGTACTCTTCATGCAAAGTGTTTATAAGAGTATTACGTAACGCGTGATACTTGTGTTCTATACGATTACGTTCGACTACATCTGGTATGAGGTTCTCAAAGCGCAACACATCGCCTAGGACGATTTTCTCAAGGAGGAAATATTCACCCACAGCATCTAACCATACAGCACCTTTCTTCACTACCACACGCGTCCCTGCCTTGAGAGCACAAGATGCAGCAAAGGGAATGGACTCGTAGACATATTGGGCTTTAGAGCCTGAGATAACGTGATTATTCATACTCTTATGCTTGGGTAAAAATGGCAAATACATACTACGGGACTGATATTTACTTGCAGTGAAATAAGATGCGCAAGCGGCGTCGTTTCGGATTGATACAGATTCAAAGTTATGATTATAGTCAGTTATAATCTGCTCCATACGCAATAGTGGAAACGCGAACACGTAAGGTAATTCGACAGCCGCAAACAGGCTGCCGTCAAGACAGCCGAAAAATATAGCTACACAATCATTACTTACAGGAAGCAGTACGCCGCTGCGTTCGCACCAATGAAGGCGACTGGGTTTTCGCTGTTCAACTGCCCGGACAGCCATAAGCTCCTCCACTTTCACTGATGAGGCGGCTGAGGGTAGGCCCCAGCAATGAGTCATCACGACCTGGCAATCACCGACGGCTACAGCCCACGGGGAGCAACACTCGAGATTCTTCTTGTCAGTCGAGGAAAGGTGACTAATGTACACCCCTCCATCATCGTCCACACGCACGGAGCGGTCGCGGTACATATCCTGCCTAAACACACCACCCCCAAGCGTTGGCTCCAACGCAATCAACCTCAGTTTTGGAATTGCTGAGGCGTTCAGACGCGTTGCGATGCAATCATTGCTATTAGATATATTGCCTTCTATTGTCTCTGCCGTCTCACTCTGTCGTTCGCTAGTCAACTCCTCGTTTTCACTGTCGTCACTGGAGCTGATGTATGACAAAGTATCCTCCAACAGCAATGCATCACCACTTTTTGCCTTGTTAGAGCAGTTCGGTGGCTGAAATGTATTTTTGGGATACACAATCTGTAGAAATGCGTTACCAATGCTACCGAGGCCCACACTCACAAATAGTTGAGACAAGGAAATACTAATGCAATCTGTCTCGAAGCGATGCGACATGAATGGATATAGTTCGTAACCCTCCAGCCTATACACGCAGACCAGCGGTCCACAGCATACCGCTACAAGAACCTCAGTGCCATACTCTGCGTTATTGTTATTACGTGGATCACTATCACAATGGTTTGCTTGTCGGCACACCGACAGATCCATCACAGCACCCTCCCCAACAGGAACCGTGTGGAGAATGCGCAGAGGGTTTATAAGCAGAACAAGAACCCGTCCACCACCTAGTGAACCTTCCAGTGCGGCAGTTCCAACGAACACTATCTCTCGCGAGATCGCGTCGAATGACTCAAGTCGACGCTGTGATGGGGGAACCTGTCCAGCGCAAGTGGCCACCTGATCAAGCAATTGTAAAAAATCGCACACCTTGAACGAGGTCTTGGACACAACCACTAGGATTGAAGAGTGCGCATCTCCACAATCTAGAATATTGACCAAAAGTCCTGGATACGATAAGTACAGAGTCTTTGTAAGCCGCTGCGAAGGGTTAGATATGATATTTACACGGCGCTTTAGGTGGTAGGTTATTGGTGATACTACTGCCAAATGCTCCTTATCACCACCATCTTCCTGCTCTTGAACAGTTTTCAAGTTCACTGTGTCACTGCTACAGCCACAGCTGCCTCGACGAAACAGCTGTGGAAGCGAAGCAACAACCAACCGATGACCATCAGTTAAAAAAAGAGTGTGTTGCAGCAACCCCGTTACAGAGGAATGGGTTTGCACAGCAAAGCCCCTTTGCCATCCATCCGATAAAAACTCAAGAGAGGGGGATTCCATGGTGGCTACGGTGTGTACCGAAGTGTTCAGTCCACCATTACCACCCCCTTCAGCTCCAGCGACAAGCAATACTATTTCCTTGTCCTGAATAATAAAAATATTAAACCCACTGTAATCTTCAGCGTCTCTAAGCACAGAAGACAAACATGTACCCCAAAGGGCGGCACCAGATGGCATTACACTTGTTACCGATTTCCATTCAGGCTTAGAGACACCCTTTTTTTTATTACCAGTGCCATAACGAATAACAGTGAGCCTGGTATCATCATGCAGTACCATCCATTGCATGCGCTCTTTTTCTTTAGAACGCACCCTCACAATACTTCGGGGGACAGATGATTGACCGCAATCCTTGAAAACAGATATAGAGGGGGAGTAAAGCGGTGAAACTAAATGGTATACAAGTGTTGGCGCCCTCACAACCTCCCCGTCTGTTGTTTTTAGACGCAAAAAATCTATGCAACCGTCCCACATCCCTATTAACATGGCCACTTCGTATTCGTTGATCATATCAATAGCCACAGAAGCTGGTGGGCATGACCAGGGGTGTGATTGTCGGTATACCGGCGTTACTACAGTGGGGCCCACACCTGGATCACAGACAGAGGAACAGGAAAACAGCACAAAGCCATCTTTCAGGATTACAGCTACAAAAATCACTATATGAATCACACCACAAACTGACTTTTCCACTCGGCACCCGACTGCGTGGGTTGCCTTCCCTGGAAGATCAATTGTCTGGTGTTCTACAAACAATCGTGTAGGAGTGCACTGTACCAGCGTCAAATCACCTCCCTTTGTGCCACGGAGAGGAGCAGCATACAAAGTCGGTTCGTCATTGAACCAGTAGGAGGCCCCATAATGTGTTCGATGCTCTGTCAATGTGAACGGGCAGGTTCCATCGCGGTAGTGGCAAGACAGTAGGTAAGTATTGTTCGCATCGCTTACCAGCACTCCCCAGAGGGATTCGCCGATTCCGCTGTTTGCATAACCCCACCATATTGGATAAAAGCCCTGTACTACCGTATTGAATAATGTATTCTTGGATATTTCCATATTGCTGGGATCTTTCCCTGTAGTAGAAAGAACTTTGGTTGTCATTACCGTCGCTGGGACTGCGGGTGACAGCAATGTTAACGTGCCCTTGGAGTGGGAAACTATCATCGAATGTGCAGGGCCTCGACATACCGACGTCACCGCACCTTCACCCCAAAGCCCGCCCACCACACACCTTGTCTGTAGATCAACAACAAAGACATCACAAACGTAGTCTATCAAAAGGACGTAGCGTTGTGTGAGAGCAATATAAGGATTGGGGTTGGCATAGCTACAATGGTTAAAGGGAAGCATGCTCCTTGGCATAAAACCGCGCGGCAGTCCACTAAAATCACACCGGGTCCAGGGAACACCTAGACAATCGTTGAACTCCCCCTCTTCATCCACGGGTGAGGTACTGCCTATCATTTGATCTTGCGCCTTACCATGTTCTAGCGTCATAAGAATCTGGTCTGGGATCTCTGTCAGTGAGCCATCGTCCAGCAACAACCAGAGGGAGCACAGTTTGTCTATAAAGAGGAAGACGCCAGCGACTACACGCTCATGACTTGTTGTCAAACGAATGCCTTTCTGTGGTACGTTTAAATCAGTGCTTTTAAGCTTATCTATTTGCCAGTGATGAATGTACTGACCGGTGGTAGCGCTAGAGAAGGCATAGACGCGGGTCTGCAGCCTTTTCCGCGGTCCAGGAGGGGCTGTAATGATGTAATAAGGAGAACACGGATGACCTGCGCTACCTGATTGTACACGAAGACATGTCAATGTCCTCAGTACAGGATGCGTGAGTTGAGAGTTGTAATCCAGGTTTAAGGAGGATACATAAATGGACGAGCGGTTATTGAGTAGCTGAACAAAGCAATCTGTTGGTACCCCTGGCAAGGGAAGCGGCGCCAGAGAGGTGGCTTCTAAAAAATCAATACTAATATGAACCACAGGCAAACGCGGATCTCGTCCCGGTGGATTAGAGGGTATTTTCTCAAGCTCTTTTTTTTTCTGAGACAATACCTTAATACTGTGGTCCAGCATGAGGTCTTCGTCAGCAACAGACGGTGAACCCTGCAGCCAATTCTCGTGTAGTCTCTGAGAACGCATGTCATCACTTTCACCGTAAATATAAGTACTTTCGCTTTTAGTATGGCTTCTAAAGCGGAATTCTCCAGAAGGCACTGGCATCTCACCAGGCCAAGCGTAGTGATAAAAATTTGAGGACCTGCTTCGACCTATGAGGCCAAAAAATGTTAGACTATTTGCCGCCATTACACTTTCACATTTAAGGTGGTCAATATGGATGGTATGGACATTGTTTCTGAAAATGATTGCCTGTGCGGTCTTTCCACTCTCGCCAACTATCAACTGCGGGTCAGCCACGGGCTCCCCCAACGTCAATCGCGTTCCAGTGCCAAAGGGCGTAGTGAATGTAGTGTAGCGATAGATGATACACCAGTGATTCTTGTGACTCACACACTGATTACAAGAAGCGCTATTTTTTTCATTAAGATCCCACGACAAATTAGCTTGATAGCGTACAAGAATAAGTTCAAGGTCTCGTGTAAGGAAAATTGCTATCTGGTGGCGTAGTGCCCCAATGCGGATTACCATGTTGCCTACATTTATGGAGTGCCCTGTCGGTGTGAAGGCAATAACCTCATGGGAAGATTTCTCTCCATAAGCTATGGTTGTGAGATCCGACAATCGGGGTTGCTTCTCAATACGATAAACATTTACTGAGGATCCAATCCCGGCTAGAAGCACGGATGGCGTCTCATGTGACAAATCGTCATCGAGCGGTAAAACATGAGCTACATGAACAACAGAAGATGGATATAGCTGACGAATGCCCAACATGATTGTATAAATACTACTGTGGGTGACACAGACAGTATGAGGTAGTTAATCTTTTAGAAAGGGTCTTGTATATTTACCCTATAACTCATTTTTTTTGTGAAAACAACACTAAGGAGAACTAATAAAATATATCAAAATGGATATATGAATGAATGCACATGTTCCATACTTGTGTATAAAAGTGATCAATAAGCTATTCATAAATATCCACGGTAGCCCTAGGAGTAGGTATACTAACATTTAAGCAGTTGATTAATTATCATCATCTTGATGCTTTTATTGCGTCTGTCTTTTCAAAGGAAGAAAAGAACTGATGTTACAAAAGCAAAATAAGAAGGCAATCAATGATATTAATGATCTCAATGACCCTTGCTTTCTAAGTCAGAGATGTTTTAAAAGAGACACTTATTTGCATTATGATAATTCGTTTCGTACGGTCTTAGAATGTGGCTCACCATCCTCTAATTTATGTACCCCTTCTCGCTGTTGCGCCCAAAGGAATTGTTCTTTGAACGCTTCCTTGCACCGAACCTCATGCGCAATCATAGCGGTCTTCATTTCGTCTAAAATACGCGGCACAAGTCGGTTTGTTATCTCGATGCATTCATTAAGAAGAGGCCACGTTACGTCACACCCTTCATCCTTCTCTAAGGCACAGACCACACCCTCTGCGTTCACGGCCACGACAACTTTACTAGCCGCCGCGGCTTCCTCCTCAAGTGAGGGGTCCACCACAAGCAAGAGCCCCTCGTCTGTCGCCCGTGTGGTCCTTTTTTCGTTAGGGTCAACCGTAGTGCCCGGCCGACTCCCTGTGGTGCGATGGTGCGATTGCCCCGATGCCCCCCCGGTTGTTACAGCATAGCTGCAAGACAGGGGGATGTGATGGAGGGAAAGTGGGACCGGATCGCGCTCATGCGGAGAATGTAGGGTGATGTGATCGCCACGAATGGTGATCTCCGGCCGACGGAAATGCTGGAGGGCGGTGATCGCACTCCACTGGGCCACATCAAGGGCGTTGCCATCATCATTCACAATAAGGATCTCCACCGATAGGCTCCACACTCGCCGACCTGGCAAGACGCAAAGGCCTTCGGGGTCCAGGACACTGTTCTTGAAAAGGCGCTCTAAAAAACGACTAATCTTTTTGATCTCCTTCGGCTTCGCAAGACTATCGCGCTCATGGAGTAGCTGGCGCACGTGAAATTCTAAAAATCCGTGCTTGGGTCTAAAAGGTGATGGCTCTACAAGATCGCACGTAACGGTCGCGGTACCAGTAGTATCGCCGCACCGCACTAAGGTTACATCACGTGTGAGGAAGGGAAATTCAATGGTCAGATGCCGGAGCTGATTCGCTTCACGCTGATCGTGCCGCACACCCATCCGCCACGCCTCCCTTGTAAATTGCGCATTACGGCGAAGCAACGTTTCAGCGGGAATAGGCAACACCGGTCTATAGAACATTGGTAGTTCGTACGGAAAAAAAGAGCCTTTAAATAATTGAAGAAGGATTGAAGCGTGTCCAGATACACGCATAAAAGAGTAATATAACGTGAAATAGACACCTGACTCTGAGATAAGTGTACTCTCCTATAATCTGTGTCTTAATTTAACGTAAATAAATAGAGTGATTAAATAAATCAACAGATCGAATATGAGTTTCAGTTCTTTTGTACAAATTAAATATATTTTCCATATTCATATTATGATTAAAACCTGTAAGCAAACACTCAATCGAATGTCTATGTATTATATTAATCAATGAATAAAACATGATCGTCAATCAATCATTGTCTTCCTCATAGATATGAACTGGAAAATCTGCATCTTCTTCACCTGTTATATCGTAATGTAGCATGCTGGTGGAAATCGGGGTGATTGGTCTACTTTTCAAGGCCTTGTTGCCGCTTGTTATACTCTTTGGGGACACACTACGGGTTACTCCATCTTTTACATCCATGTCGTCGTCTTCAAAAACGACACCAGCAGCTTCTGACTGGGCTATCGCTTGTTCTTCACGCAAGGCGTCCTCGCTTCGGATACGTATGTCGCTCTCCGAGTCGTACACGGATAAATTCGGTTCACATAACGATTCTAGGGTTTTATACTCCCACTCATTGCTCACTTTTTCTTCTTCAGTGGTGGAAATTTCGTCAGGAGAACAACCTGATACCGGATTATATGCGCGCCAATCAGTCATGTTATATGAAGAATTGGTGTCTTTTGCCAAAACTGATGTGTTGCTTCGATGTTGACTGAAGAGTGGCAGAATACCATCGCCTAATGTTGCTCTATCTGCACTTAGAAGTTTCAAGGAGTTATTGGTCTTCTCTTCGATACGTCTAAGACGAGATGCATTGGCAATTTCTTCCAATTTCAGCCGTCTCTTCATGTTCTGATCGGCTATCCGGTTCAAAATGCTTTTTTGTGAAAGGTGCTGCTCCATCAACGTCCGCATAGCCAATCGCACATCGGCTTCTGTCAACTGAGTCTCTTCATCTTCAAGTAGACTCGCTCCTACTAGACAAGTCAAACGCTCAGCGGGTGTTGAACTATTTTTTGCAGTTGTATTTGTTGGAACCTCCTTTTTCTTGATATTAGGCCTCTGAGAGAGTTTCTTCACTGCAGACACTTGACTATTTTTTCTTCTTCTCGAATGCGGAGGCAATGAAGAGGTAAGAGATTTGGTTCCGGAATGACGAAGGATTGTGTGACTTCTTGATGTAAAAGAAATGTCCCAACGTGTATTTTTAAAGACAGTTAACAAGAACCGATGACTTCGCCAAAATGGGAGGCGTACAATAGACCACATGATTTATATCAATGTATAAATCCTATTTAAATAGTCTTAGAATTGTGTATGATATGAATAAAAAGGTAAAAATACTGAGAAACTGTAGCAAAATTGGAGGTTTGACTCGTAATTTTTTTTTAATGTCTGTGTGGTAACATGCATAACCAAAGTAGCCATGGAAAAGTTAGTCACCATTTATTCGCTATAAATAAGTCTTCTTAGACTCTTCCGC